AAGAAAGAAAGAAAGAAAGAAAGAAAGAAAGAAAGAAAGAAAGAAAGGAAGGAAGGAAGGAAGGAAGGAAGGAAGGAAGGAAGGAAGGAAGGAAGGAAGGAAGGAAGGAAGGAAGGAGGAAAGGAAAGGAAAGGAAAGGAAAGGAAAGGAAAGGAAAGGAAAGAAAACTCTAAACCCAAAGCCCTAGAACTCCATGGGACTAAACACAGCATAACACAGATGCTCCCCTGATAACCAAGCCAGACTGAGGCAATCCAGGCCTGACAGAAAAGTTTTTGCTAAGAAAAGGAACTTGGTTTGAGGAAAGCCAGGTTAAACTAGGCATACTGACTTGAATCATAGGCTTCTGAGAATGAGTTCTAGAAGTATCTGTGGTTTACTCTTTGCATATGTAACACTGTAGCTATCTGCTCTTTAAAACAGTCAAGGTTTGTTTTAAACCCTACATTGATTTTTTTTTTTTTTATGCTTTGATAACTCCGGAAATAAACAAGCCACTTGCAAAGAGAATTACTTTCTTGAATAGGCTTCAACGAACACATTTCAGTTAATTAGCATGGTTGGGCAGGAATGAAGTGCTCTCAGTAGCCGAATTGTGTAGTTAGCTCTGTTAAAGATGCCAAATGAAGCTCTATGACATTAGACACTAATAGCCACATATTCTTTACAAATTGTCTTTTTGGGATTCATGTCATTTCTTTCTACTCACTCCTTTTCTTTGTATTGAACACTCTTCTGGTCATTACTTGTTTCTTACTCTTCACCATTCTTTATTTACTGTACTTATTTCCTCAGTACCTTTTCTCTATAGCCAAGTAATCAGTCTTTCAGATCCCTTCAACTATCAACTCTATAGCACAGCACTGTCATTAAACAGTACCCGTCATGGTGGGTACGCTAATGAAGGAACTGAGACAAGAGAAGAACACTCAGATAAAAGGAGACAATCTGCTCCTCAAATCTCTTTTCCGGCTTTTCACCCCAGTTCCAGAAGCCCTCTTTCCAGCCCCACACTGAATAACCACCTTCACCTGAAAGACTCACACACATGTTGCAACTCCTATCTTTTTTTCCACGGTTCTCTTGAAATGCAATGATGAACTGTTCTGTTTTCAAAGTATAGACTGCTATGTTGACGTATGGATAAACTCCTGACAACCACACCGCAGTCAGAAAATGAGGTGGTGGACCACGGCAAGCTTCTGATGGCCCTTTGTGGTGCCACTGTCTAGTATTTCATTGTTTTGTTTTCTTAGGGTTTTTGGTATTTGCTTGCTTGTTTGTTTGTTGAGATTAGGGACTCGATATCTAACCCAGGCTGGATTGGAACTGTGAGATTCCACCTCAGTCTCCTGAGTGTTGGGATTTCGGATGTGAATCACCACAGATCTGCCCCTCTCTCACTCTGCTCCGTCCCCAGCTGTGCCCTCTGACACCTTCCTAGACAAAGTGATCCCCTCTTGTTGTTATGGATAGATTTGCATTGTCTAGAGTTTCATGGGACTTGGATTATACAATATGTGCTCTTTTTATCTGTCTTCTTTTGCTCAGCATGTTAAACTCTATCTTGGTGATATATAGACATTACATGGAGTAGCATATGACCCCAGATTTTAATCTGCATTTCCTTGGTGAGTAATGATATTGGAGATCTTTCCATGTGTTTATCATTTATCTTCTTTGGGAAAATGTGAGCCTAGGTTTTTTAAATTGCATTGTCTTTTTTTTTTTTTTTTTTTTTTTTTTTTTACTTATTTTATGCTTCTGAGTGTTCCACCTGAGTGTCTGTATGTGTACAGCATGTGTGCAGAAACCCAAGGAAGCCAGAAGGTGTCAGATTCCCAGGAACTGGAGTTACAGATGTTGTGAGACAATTGTACCTGCATTCTCTAGAAAAGCAAAAAATTTGTGCTCTTAACCTCTGAATCTCAAGGGTCCTGTAGACAAGCCCTTTAATATATATATATATATTTTTTTTTTAGAAGATTGGTCTATCAATTTTATTTTCTCACTTCCTCACTCAATTTTTTTTTGTTGTTGTTGTTTGGTTTTGTTTTTTGAGACAGGCTCTCATGTAATCCAGGGTACCTTGGAAGTCACTTAGGCAGTCAGTGGTGACCTTGAACTCTTTTTTTTTAATTTTATTTTTTTTCTTATCAGTTACATTTTATTAACTCTGTATCCCAGCCGTGTCCCGCTCCCTCAGTCCCTCCCTCCCTCCCTCATCTCCACCCTGCCCCTTTCCAAGTCCACTGATGGGGGGGGCCTCCTCCCCATTCATCTGATCCTGTTTTATCAGGTATCTTCAGGACTGGCTGCAAAGCCCTCCTCTGTGGCCTAACAGGACTGCTCCTCCCTTGGGGGGTGGGAGGTCAAAGAGCCAGCCATTGAGTTCCTGTTAGAAATAGTCCTTGTTCCCCTTACTATGGGAAACCAATTGGTTACTGAGCTACCACGGGCTACATCCAAGCAGAGGTTCTAGGTTATATCCATACATGGTCCTTGGTTGAATGTCAGAAAAGACCCTGTGCCCAGATATATTTGGTCCTTGTGGAGCTCCTATCCTTTCCCCATCATACTAACTCCCCTTCTTTCATATGATTCCCTGTACTCTGCCAAAGGTTTGGTTTTGAGTCTTTGTATCTGCTTTGAAAACACTGCTAGTTAGAGTCTTTCAGATGCCTTCAGTAGACTCCTGTCATACGTTCAACGCACATCTTTCTAAACGAGGATTGATCATCTTACCCCATGTCCGCTCTCTTGATTATCTTTTTTAGGTGTATTGATTTCATTATGTTTATCATATCTTATAGGTCTATATAAGTGAGTATATACCGTGTTTATCTTTCTCCTTCTGGGATATTTCACTCAGAATGATCTTTTCTAGATCCCACCATTTGCCTGCAAATTTCATGATTTCCTCCTTTTTGATTGCTGAGTAGTATTCCATTGTGTAAAAATACCACAATTTCTGTATCCATTTCTCCGTTGTTTCCAGGTTGTTTCCAGGTTCTGGCTATTACAAATAAAGCTGCTATAAACATATAGCAAATTGTTTGAGGAAATATCCCTTTTGTGTACTTGAGCAAAGTTTGGGTATATACCTAGCAGTGGTATAGCTGGGTCTTGAGGAAGCACTATTCCTAATTGTCTGAGAAAGCGCCAGATAGATTTCCAAAGTGGTTGTACCAGTTTACATTCCCACCAGCAGTGGAGGAGGGTTCCCCTTTCTCCACAACCTCTCCAGCATGTGTTGTCACTTGAGTTTTTCATCTTGACCATTCTGATGGGTGTGAGGTGAAATCTCAGGGTCGTTTTGATTTGCATTTCCCTGATGGCTAATGAGGTTGAGCATTTCTTTAAGAGTTTCTCTGACATTCGATATTCCTCTGTCGAGAATTCTCTGTTCAGCTCTGTTCCCCATTTTTTAATTGGATTACTTGGCTTGCTGCTTTTCAGCTTCTTTAGTTCTGCATGGTATTGGCATAAAAACAGAAAGGAGGATCAATGGAACCGAGTAGAAGACCCAGAAATAAATTCACACGCCTATGAATACTCGATTTTTGACAAAGAAGCCAAAACCATTCAATGGAAAAAAGACAGCATCTTCAACAAATGGCACTGGTCCAACTGAATGTCTACATGTAGAAAAATGAAAATAGATCTATATTTATCACCCTGCACAAAACTAAAGTCCAAGTGGATCAAAGACCTCAACATAAAACCTGACACACTAAATCGGTTAGAAGAAAAAGTGGGGAATACCCTTGAACTCATTGGCACAGGAGACAACTTCCTGAACAGAACACCAACAGCACAGGCTCTAAGAGCAACAATCAGTAAATGGGACCTCATGAAACTGAAAAGCTTCTGTAAAGCAAAGGACACCGTCATCAAAACAAAACGACTGCCTACAGATTGGGAAAGAATCTTCACTAACCCTTTATCTGACAGAGGACTGATATCCAGTATATACAAAGAACTAAGGACCTTGAACTCTTAATCTTCCTACCACTGCCTCCAAGTGCTCAGATTACAGGCTTGCACCGCCATGCCGTTTTTCATTCTCTCTTTAAAAACAAAACAAAGCAAAACAAAGCCATTTGTAGGATGGCACCCATGTCATGTGACAAATGTGGAGGTCAGAGGACAAATCTGTGGTCTCTCCTGCCACCTTTATATGGGTTCCAGGGATTGAACTCGGGTTGTCAAGCTTGAATGGTGAGTGCCTTTATCCATCTCCCCACCCTGGCTGGCTCTTTCCATCCTCTTAACTGGTATCTTTGAAGACAGAATTTTTAAATTTTGGTAAAGTCGATTTACCACTTTGACTTTCTATTGATTATAATGTCAACATCTTATCTACAAAATAATTCCATAACTCCAAGTCATTAATACTTTTGTCCTAATGTTTCTGCTAAATTTTGAGTTCATGAGCTACTCTGAGTCAGTTTCCATGTTCATCTTACATAGAGATGGCCAGTTGTTCCAGTACCTTTAGTTGAGAAGTCTATCATTCTCCACTACAATGCCTCTGTACCATTGTAAAAAGCCAAATGTCCATATATGTACTCGTCTATCCCAGAACTGTCTGCTGTTCTTTTAATGTAACTGTCTCTTGTGCAAGTCCCACTGTTTTGACAAATACAGCTTAGTAATAATGGTTAAAATCAGGGAGCATAGCCTTTCAATATACCTTTTCTTTGTAAAGGCATCTTAGAGTTGTTTTGTTTTGAGTCCAGTTATTCTGGGTATTTTTTTTGGAATTCTCTTGTGTTGGAATCACCTGGTCAATTTCTAAAACCACTGCAGAGAATGTCAGTAAGAGCCAGGTGTGGTGCTCACAGCTAAGTGTACACTCAGGAGATAGAGGTAGGAAAATCGTAAGGAAGTTCAGAGTCATCCTCAGGTGCAGAGTGAGTGTACCAGTCCAGACTACATAAGATGCTGTCTCAACCTAAAGAAGAAACAAAAACCAAAAAAACACATTTACTGGGCTTTTTACTGAGATAACATTGAATCTACACATCAATTTGAGAAGTAGCAATAATGCTGAGTCATCAAGACCATGCACAAGGCACATCTGTCCATAATTAAAGCTTTCTTTCATTTCTGTGGGCAATATTTTGCAATTTCCTTTATTCTTTTATTAAAACTTAAAGGATAAGAGGCTAGAGAGAAGGCTCCACAGTTAAAGGGTGTCTACTGCTCTCCTAGAAGACTGACGTTCCATTCCCAGCACCTACATCAGACAACTCACAACTGCTTGTGACTCCAGCTCCAGGAAATTCAACACCCTCTTCTGACCTCTTCAGCACCTGCACACACATGGTATATACACACGCAGACACACACACATAAACAACAAAAAAAAAATCTTTTAAAACTTTTTTAAGGCCACTACAGTCACACTGCTGACTCCCGTCTACACTGATGTCTCCACCATACATCTCTAATATTGTCTATCCTTTCAAATTCAGCAGTCCTCAAAGGAAGGATCCAATGAGGTCATGTGGTCATGCACCCATAAGTGATGTTCCATTTTGCTCAGAAAGAAGACAAAAGAGAAGAAGGCACTAGAAAGCTTAATAAAAACACAGCATTACAGTGGGGAGATCTAGGGGAATGTAGGACCCACAAACTTTTAAGGGAATGACAGTAAGGTTACGAGAGAGAGAGAGAGAGAACGCAAATGGAATGTTCCAGGTCACACAGAGATTGACAGAGTATTGACAGACTTTTCCTTCTGTGTTTAGATATGACTCATGGTAAGGAATGCATTTTATAACATGACACTTTATAACATGTATACAATAAGACTGTTAGCTCACTTAATACTTACAGAAGTCCTAGGAAATTTTACTTTTATTATCTCTTTTTATAGATGAGTATAAAAGTATAATAACTTGTCCAGCAAGTAAACAAACCAGAACTTGAATATAGGCCACATAGATCAGGGTCCTAGGCCTTAATCACTTCATATGCTGTCCCAAATATGCACAGTAGTATGTTTACATATATACATATGAATGTGCAGTGCTTTATAAAGTACCAACCATTTGAATAATGGACTCTGTTATTTTCTAGTCTATTTCAGTTTGAAGTCTTGACTGCAAGTACCAATTAAAGCCTGCCACTTTTAAATGACTGAAAAGCACCACTAAACTCCCCAGGCCAGATCTCCTTTTTTGGTTTTCTTTTTAGAAAAGGAGGAACTTAACATCAAAGATGGATATAAACTGATCATTAAGTAAAAGGTTAAAAGCTTCTACTGTCTGCCTCATAGGAAGACAGTTACCCCATCTATCACTCAGGAGAAAACGAAAGATGCAAAACTCCCTCTTTCGTGGTAATAGCAAGTATACATACAAGCAATTCAGAGAGAAAAAAGTCACTTGAACCTCAAGCCTACTAGGCAGTACAACCATCACACTCATTAGGACATACACAAACTATTTTTCAATTAGCCAGGCTGTAAGAAATCAAATACAGCATATCTGTCATGTTAAAAATTCTCTATTGTCTCTTTTTAGTTTTTAACTCTGTATCAATATTGTTCTGAGCATTTTACATATATTTTAACTCATTTACCAGGCTTCACAATTCTATCCACTTGGGGCTACTATCAAATCCAATTTACAGATGGATTTAAGTATAATTAAGTATACAGAGAATATACTTAAGACTTGCCTACCCAGCTAAAGTGAGCTGGGTATCATAGGACATTGCTCCACTCAAGCATCTGTTCTCTTGACTACCCTACTCAAGATTTAAAGCCATCATGCTGGTGACTGTATTGACAACCCCCAAAGCAAAGCAGCTGATAAACTTCAGTAGTAGCTGATCAAATAGTGCTAGGTCTTCCAAAAGTATGGGAATGGAGGTAGCTTAATGTTCAGTCTAAGCTTGTCCAGCAATAGGCAACATTATTTCCAAGGAAAACTGGATTCCTATTAATCTAACTATTATTATTAAAATATTTAAGTACATATGCATAAATTTGTTTATGGTTATATGTGTATATTGCATATGTAGTCAGTAGAAAATAAAAACACCTCAGAGTTTCTATGTAGTTTTAAATCTATCATATGTCTTTTTTCTGCTAGCAGAACCTAGTACCTCAGTGTTAAATGTCAAGGTGAGATGAATGAAATCGTGAGTGGGGAAACTCTAAACTACAAGTGGGAAGTAGTCTGCTCTCGTCCTATCCTGCATATCAGATATTTACACCATGATTCATAACAGTAGCGCATTTACAATTATGAAGTAACAATGAAATAAGTCTATGGTTGGGGTCACCACAACATGTATTAAAGGGTGGCAGCATTGGGAAGGTTGAGAACCAATGCTTTAGACGTAAGTGAGGGATCATCTGGGTGAAGTGAGCCTCTGGCCCTTGGGAACTTGTCTTGATTAGGTTAATGGAGCTGGAAAGACCCTCCCACTGTGGATGACACCAATGTCTGGACTAAGACCCTGGGCTGTATAAAAAGGAGAACGTGAGGTGTGTACAAGCATTCATCGTTCTCTGCTTCCTTAGTTATTTTTGTGTTACTGTTATATGTATGTGTATGTATGATGTGTGTGTGAACGCAGGTGCATACATGCTACTGCACATACGTGGGGGTCAGAGGACAGGGGTCTATTCTCTCTGTCCACTGTGGCTTCCAGGGATCAAACTCAGATCATCAGGCCTGTGCAGCAGGGGCTTTAAGCCCATGAGCCACCACCACAGCCCACGCTGCACTTCCACCAACCACTTCAAGGTCTTGCTGCCTTGATTTCTCTACATGACAGCACTTCAAATCCTTCTTTTCTCCGTGGGCTTTTGTCAAGGCATTTTATTGAAACATCAGTAACTAATCCAGAGATTATGAAATTAAAACTGTCTGTTTCGTGTCCCTCTTCAGTTACCCGGGAGCCCCGAATTCACCTACTAAGCATTTACAGAGAAGCCATTATTACAAGTAAAATGGATTTGGAGTCAGGGGATGAGGGTTATAATCCAATCTGCTGTTTACTCAATGAGCAGATCAATAAGTGTTACTTGTGTCCCGTTTGTCCATCTCTTGTCCCTTCGACTCCCCTCCTGCTCCTCCCACTGCAGCTGCACGGCATGGTCCCTGTTAGTGTTGGTGAACACACCATGAAGTGTGCCTTCTTCCACTCTCTGTAGCTTCTGTTTTTTCTGCCTGCAGTATTCCTCCTTTGAGGAACTGTGCTCAAATAGCATCTTACCCAGAGGGCCTTTCCCCAGTTCCTCTGAATAAAATAACACACACACACATTCTCCTTCTGCTTTTCTGTGTGGAGTTGACAAGTACCTATATTTATTTGTTCATATTCTGTTCTCCCCATAGATATCATAAGCACCAGAAAAAATCAGTCTGTCTCTTTCTCTGTGTCTCTGTCTCTCTTTTTCTATCTTTATCATTTGTTTGTTTGACCTGTATTCTCAGTATTATCTTAGAACAAGGCATTACAAATTTGTTGAGCTGGGCATTGTGATGCACTTTTTTAATTCCAGCACTTAGAGGCAGAGGCAGGCTGATCTCTGAGTTCAAGGCCAGCCTGGTTTACAGCGACAGCCAGGGCTACACAGGGAAACTGTTTCAAAACAAAACAAAAAGTATGTTGAATGAAGTTGAATAAACACAGTGAATTACTGAATATCTATACACACCTTCCTATCTAGTTTACAGGATTACAAAAATCAAATGACCATACAAAAGCTCTTTGTAGAGTGCTAAATAAATCAAATAGCACTTCTGAACAATATTTATGTGAAAGTGAACTATTTTCATAAAGCCAAATAAAGAATTCCAACTCAAAAGATCAAGAAGAAATTACCTGTAGTTTTCATATTTACTCCCTAGCATAGAATCACTAAGACATGAAACACCAGTCTGGATATACAACAGTAGCACTCAGAAGGTCTGGAGAGGAGGATCATGAGTTTGATGTTATCTTGAGCTTCAGAGTGAGACCCTATTTCAAGAAAATAAAAAATAAAGAAATAAAAAAAAGTCACATCATCCTACAATGCTAAATATTTTAGAATGTTTTCAAATTTCTCAGATCAAAAATTAACTAGAGCTGGGCTTGGTGGTGGCATGCCTTTAGTCCCAGCACTCAGGAGGCAGAGGCTGAGTTCAAGTTCAGAACATGAATCTGGTCTACAGAGCAAGTTCTAGGACCACACAGACAAACTCTGTCTCAAAAACAAAAATTAAAAAAATAAATTATTTAGTTTTTAGGTCTTTAAACTATTGAGTCTCAAAATTCTTTTTCCTACTATAAAACAAATAGACAAGAAAACTCAGCCTAGAATTAGTAATTTCTCAAGCTAGTAAAGATGGCTCAGTGGGGGTTGGGGATTTAGTTCAATGGTAGAACACTTGCCTAGCAAGCCCAAGGCCCTGGGTTTGGTCCTTAGCTCTGGGAAAATAAAAATAAAAAAAGATGGCTCAGTGGGTAACAGCACTTGCTGTGGAAGCCTTGTGACCTGAGCTCATGCAACTCACAGAAAGGAGGGAAGAGAGAATGGATTTCACAAAATTGTCCTATGACCTCCACATTTGTGCCATGGTATGTGCACACTAGCACTCACACACAAGATAATAAATACTTTTTAATTAGTAATTTTCTCACACCACTCCCCTCGAGGCTTGGAGATATACCCAGAAGAACGGCAAAAAGATGGTATGTGCGATAGCGGGTAGACAATGTCAAGGAAACGCTGCTTCCCAGACACAGTAGGGCAGATGCACATACAAACTCATAGAGACGCATAAGACCTACAGAAGCTCAAGGCAGACAACATCCCAGAAGAAAAGAGCAGACATGTACACAAAGTAAGAAGCTATTCCCAATTGGTAGCTGCTGGAAGAGGGCAAAGCCAGTCTTCTTCAATGGAACGACACTGGGTATATCTCCTACACTCCAGGACAGAGACTCATCATGCCCAGGAGTAGTTGGTGAATGTGAATCAGACTCCACAGTCTTTGTTTGTTTGTTTTGTTTGGCTGGGTGTTTGGTTTGTTTGTTTGTTTTTTTGTTTTTGAAAAAAAGAAAATGCATATCAACTTATGTGGAGATCTGCAAGGATCTTGGGAGAGGGGAAAGAATACAATTAAAATATATTGTATGAGGGCTGGAGAGATGGGTCAGTGGTTAAGAACACTGGTTGTTCTCCCAGAGGATCCAGGTTCAATTCCCAGCACCCACATGACAGCTTCCAATTGCCTGTAACTCCAATCCCAGGGTATCTGACACCCTCTTCTGGCCTCCTCAGGCACCGTGTATGCACATAGTACAGAGACTCACATGCAAACAAAACACTCATACCTATAAAGAAAGTTAATATAATATATATACATATGTAATAGATACACATATAATATATACAAACATAATAAAATTCTCAAAGAAAAAAACTTTAAAGCATTAATTTCTCATTAAGATCAAAGTTATTTACCTGATTAATATTTGAAGAGCTAGATCCCATGCCAATTTACTTCTTGTAGTGACAAATCATTTCTATTATGACTCCTCTTTAAAAGATTTACTGCTAACTCTTCCTAATATTTATGATACTATTTCCTACTAACAAATGCCTGTGCACTGAACTAACAAGCCTTTTAAATGCTACATTTGTGATTAAAAGTTACAGCTGTGTTTCACCATTCACGTTTGTAATATTGCCTGTAGCTATTAAGTGGGCAGTTTGATGGATCGTGATGCCTTAATATTGGCCTTATAACTAACCAATCTGGAGCCAGTAGATACCAAATACTATTTCAGAAATCTTGATTATTCCTCTTACAGATCTGGCTTTTCAGGCTTTCATTGTTCTATTTAGGATAGTGTGGTTTTGAGGGTTTTTTTTAACTTTAATTAATTACACTTTATTCACTTTGTACCCCCCATAAGCCCCTCCCTCCTCCCCTCCTAATCCCACCTTTCCTCCCCCTTCTTCACGCATTCCCCTCCCCAAGTCCACTGATAGGGGAGGTCCTCCTCTCCTTCCTTCTGATCTTAGTCTATCAGATCACATCAGAAGTGGCTGCATTATCATCTTCTGTGGCCTGCTAAGGCTGCTCCCCCCTCAGGGGGAGGTGATCGAAGAGCAGGCCAATCAGATTATGTCAGAGGCAGTCCCTCTTCCCATTACTATGTAACCCACGTGGACACTGAACTACTATGGGCTACATCTGTGCAGGAGTTCTAGGTTATCTCCATGCATGGTACTTGGTTGAAGTATGAGTCTCTGAGGAGGGCACTGGGCCATTACCAAGATAGAAAAGAAATAAAAAATATACAGTTTTGTCATTCAAGGTGCTATAACTTAGCTGAGAGTATTAGTCTTAATATTACTTATTTTTAGATAAATATAACTAAACATACAAGGAACACCCTCAAACATCGCTTATAAAAATGATGAATCAAGCAGATTTTCATAGTCTACTACTTATTCACAATGCTGCTTTTTTACAGCCTACCACACAATCTAAGTGGTCAAACACTCAATTCTATGTCAGACTTGTTAAGGCATATGCGGGAGTAAAAGGGGTATCAAACTTGATTATGCTGCTTGCAATAACGCCTTTGAAAGCAAAAAGGTGGGTGATACTGTAAGGCCATAACACACTTTACTGCATGTTTTGAGAACTAAGCTCAGTGGAGGAGGTACTAACTTGAAAATGTTAAAGACAATCTCATTTTAAAATTAGAACATACATCTTGCACTGTTTACTACAAATGAATGATATAGAGCAATTATTCACAAACACCTGTCTCTGGCTTACTGCTGGCAAACTGACTAACAAACACAGAGATCTTCACTCTTTTGTGCTGGAGTGAGACCTGGATATTCATACTTTTAAAACACACTCTTGAAATACATTTAAAAGCTCTTAGACATATTCTGATGTATGTGCCAACAAGAAAATAGTTTGATTTGTTTGATATGATATTATTTCAATGGATTTTTAAAATTCTGTTATAATTGATAAATTTAAAAAATAAAACATTCTGATGGGAAAAAAAGAAATTAATAATCATCATTTTACTTGGAATATTTTTATTTGGATACTTTTTCAAGTGAATTTAAGCATCAAGAATTTTTAAATGGTTAAAAAACAAAAACAGAAACAAAGGCACAATTAAAGCCCAAATAAGGCTTTTATTGTAGCCTCGCAGAGGCTACAGTTCCCATCTTGGCAGACTGAAGGTTCTGAGGAGTAAGCTTGGTTCTTGCAGTTCATTTGCATTTTTTTTTATATATGCTTTTCAGGCTATAGAACTCTGTAAATACACTTTTCTAATGGTGGTACTGAAACAGAGAAGAGGCTCCAAATTCATGAAATCAACTGAGACTATGTTTTTTAAACCAGGTCTTGTTTCTTCTCTAAACATTTAAAATAGTGAGATGACAAAAAAAAAAAAAAAAAAAAAAAAAAAAAAAAAAAAAAAAAAAAAAAAGTTCTTTGCTTGACAAAAGGGCCAGAAGAGGCTTTTCAATCCTTCTTCAAGACATATAATTATTCCTACTTTTTAATATAACAGCAAAGAGGGTATCATATTAAGGTGAGTAACTAAACTAATCCATTTACTCCATTAGCCAGAGTGAGTTTTCTAAAGTACAAATCTGATCATGTCATTTCCTATAAAATCCTTCAGTGATTTCCTTTTGTCATCATAAATAGATCTAAACTCTTTTCAATGGTTACCTGGTTATTACTAGTCCCTGTTTTCAGTTCCTTTTCAACCTTATACACCATCCTCTAGCAGGGAGTTCTCCTCTCACCAGTTGAAGTGAGAAACTTAAGACTTTTTTTTTTTTTTAACACTTTGTGTTCTCTCTGCCTGGAAGCCATTATATACTCTTCCGTCTAGAATGCTGTCCTTCAATCTTCCTGTACGTTCATTTTTTTTCTTTCAACTATTAATTGTTTCATGTAGTTGGAATTTACATACAAATAAAGAAAATAATATATAAAAAAATAATAAAATAAAATAAAATAAAAGATTTACTGGGTGAAAGTTCTGAATAGCATCATTTTCTCTTAGGTGACTTAACAACTTTAAACCTCACCTTTTGGTTTACTCCAACTATTTGATTCCAGTCTTGTACCAAGTAATCAGATGACCTAAGGAAGAGATACTTTTCACTTCCTTTGAAGTTTTGAAATCTCTGGATGAGGGAGAAGAGAGTTGATGATGACACTGAAGCCCTTGAGGTTGTTCCCAATTCCTCTTGTTGCCAGGACTTATCTCAGCATGAATGTCAAGGACAGCCTAAATCAAATCTTTCAAGTGAAACATTTAAATGGGGAAATAAGTAGGAGGAGTTAGTGTTATCTGTAAAGACCTTGTCCTTACCCAAGAGGTTTTCATAAATGAAACCCCAAAAGACAGCATGACATTCTGCTATTCTCAGCACATGCTTATAAAGCAACAACTATGATTCTCAGGGAATAAAATTTATAAACTTAACTTCTGAGGCCAACCTAGAAAAGGACACACCAAATCTCACTGTGCAGCCCTAGCTGGCCTGGAACTCACTATGTAGACCAGACTGGTCTTATATTCAGAGTTCTGCCTACCTGAGTCCTGAATGCTGGGACTATGAGCATGTGCCACCACACCTGACCCAACTGTGTCTCCTTTTCCAGTTTCCAGTACATAAAAATCCTCAGTGACTGCAATATACATCTCAGCTTTCTTCACATTCAAGTGGCGATCCATAAGCACATGTACACACACACAAATACTATACTAAATATCATTGCAGCTAGGCCAAACACTCAATTTGATATTAATTAATAATTGGCAGTCTGTGATAAAGAATTTAAAGATATTTTTTTCTTCCATAACCACTTCCCAGATCAGCATAAGCACTGTGAAATGCTTTAGACTATATCCACTAAGCTGAAGATTAATTCTCTTGTGGAATAGGGCCAAAAAGTGTTTAAATAAATTCAATCCGTTCACTTTGTTTTATTCAAGGGAAACTTTATTTTTAAAAGCTGAGACTTAAAAACTACTAACTATACAGGACAGAAATCAAAGGCACCTCCACTGGGTTCCCATTCCATTAACGATTAACAGGACACCATCAATACAGAGGCAGCAGGATCTTAAAATCAAATCAGCTTTAATGACAATGACACTGTATGGAACTTGTGGCTGGCCATTTCCATATCCGATTCACATAGAGAAATGTTCTGACTTAGCCCTAAGTCCCTGACTTAGCCCTTCATTGTTAGTATCTATACTTAACAGTAGTCACTCCACATCTTTCCACAGCAAGATATTCTCCAAGCAAAATCAACATGGCCCAGCATAAGTGTAAAACTAGTATAAAATATTACTGTATTTAATATTTTAATTACAAAAATACAAATAAATCAGATATTTCACACATACACACACACACACACACACACACACACACACACACACACAAGCTGAGGCTTGGGGCTAGGAGAAGGGTTCTGCCAGTTACATGCTTGTTTCCAAAGCAGAAGGATCTGAGTTCGCCTCTCCAGTACCCAGGTGTCGGCCAGCTGTACTCCCAGCACTGAAGAGGCAGAGGTAGAAGGATCTCTGCGGTACACAGGCCGACAGGTCTAGCTAATTGTTGCGCTCCAGTAAAAGATCCTGTTCCAAAAACCAAGAAAAGCAACCGAGGAAGACACCCACTATCGGCCTTTGACCTCCACAGGCACACCCACAAACATAGACACACTGTATACACACACGAGAAGCTGCAGCTTCAAGATGATTGTGTGGTACATGGCTGTCATTCCAGCACTCACTGTGCAGTGAGTTCAAGATTTCAGAGCAAATAAATTCTAAGTCCAATCCTCTCCCTCCTTTAATCTTCAGGTGTAGGGTGTGAATGGTGTATCTGTGTGGGAGCACATGCCCATGTGTGTGGAAACCCAAGGTTGACATCAGGAGCCTTCTTCAATTGCTCTTCCACCTTGTTCTTTGGGGCAGGGTCTCTCAATCAAATCTAACGCTCCAGATACAGCTGGTCTAGACACTAATTTGCTAGGGGTGGAAGAAAAAGTGGTCCCTGGTCTCTGCTTCCAAGGATGAAATTAGAGGTAAGATGCCATGCCCACCTGGCATTTATGTCTGCAGGGTTAAACTCATCATCTTGCTTGCACACTTTTTAAATGCTGAGCCATCTCCCTAGCCCCTACCTTTTTTTTTCCTTAATGTTTGCAAATGTATGGAATAACTGTTATTTCAGTGAGGCTTTTTTTTTTTTTCAAATGTGTTCCTTTTTTCAACAGGTATTCTGAGAAGATGAGCACTAACACCTATTTAGTAAGTCAAGACATGATTCAAACAGTTCTTCCTGATAAAATGACCCTAAGACTCAGGACCTAAAAACAGAAAACCACAGCACCCAAGACAAAGCCAAAATTGGGCATAACTTCTGATACAGAGAGATTCTAAAGACAGCATATGCCAACCAGGATAGGTAGCTCATTTTCAACAGACAGCTAGTTTGAAAACAACTGATGCTTAGTGGCCTAAGCTGGTACATTGCTGTGTCCTCCTTTTGCAGTTTTAGGTTTCTGATTCTCCCAGCTCTGCCTTAGTACTTTTCTATTCCAACCTACTTCACCTTGGATACCCACTGAGTAAAATTAGAATAGGCACTGAGCACTTTATTTGAAGCACAACGCTGACACCTAGTGTAACGACTGATTTCCTTCCCTCTTGTCTTCTGCCCACTCTTCCTTCCTCCCTCTTTTGCTCTCCCAACCCCTCCCTTTCTTCAAAGTCCCTTGACTATGCCTACGGTTTAACAATAGTAAACACTTGCAGAGGATGTACAGGCTAAGTATTGTGATAGCACTTCAAATGCATCATCTTATTTTCAACTGATACCATCATCCTCTATCATGAATAATAGGAGTCATGGAGAGTTTGTTTAGGTTTGGGGACAGAAACTAGAACTTAAGTCCGGATATATCTGGTTTTGGAGCTGGCCACATTGTGGAATAGCTTGGTTTGTGTTTTCACAGACTTCAAGGTTGCTTGTAAGGCTTCAGATAAATATCAAAGATCTGAGGCACAAAATTTTGAGCCATTCTCCCCTCCCTCTCTATGACAAACGTCAAGCTTAGGACTCCCCAGGCTGTTTGCCTTCTCATTCGCTCTCAAGTGTCACTGGGAAGGTTCTGGGAACATTTGTAAGCAATATATGTCAGAGGTAGTTCTTGGAACGGTAGGCCAATTATTCCCAGTGCTTTCTTCTTTCCTCTTCTATATGTTCCACAAGAGTAGAACTTAAGACAAAATCTTAGTATATACAGTGGGTTCTCAATCATGTATGAAGTCCATTGGGACAGGCTGAGAATCTGTATTTTTATGGCATTGCCTTTGTACTGTACTAAGATATATGGGTGCTTAAATCCAGTTGTTTACTACCTAATGCTGAAAAGGTTGCTGCCGTGTGCTCAATGCCCAAGTGGGCTAATTAGCTTCTCTGAGAGAAAGCAAGACCTTCTCCAGGGCATGACACTGTCTCTCTACTACACTACCAACTCCACCCAAGAGCTTTTTCATCAGGCACTTACTTCCCTTTTCTTCCACAGCACACTTCTTAGCTATGATCATCGTACAAGGGACAAGTTCACACCATGCTCTTAGTGTGATGGAGTGGCTGAAAGCCACTGAAGGACCCTTTGAACTTCCTTGGATCATCCTGTAACTAGATTCTTGTTCTCAGACCTTAAATGAAACTATCAAAATTCCTGTTTTTACTCTCCATGTCTACTTTGTAGTATAAATTGGAATCTTAATGACTGGGGTTTAACCTTAGAGGAAACAGGAGAAGACAAAACTCACCAAACATTTGGCATATGCAAATTCCACACACACAGAACACACATTATCTTTTTCCAAAATACAAAGCAAGCATCAATCTAACCTATTATGAAAGATTTAGAGAAAGTAGCTCATCCAAGGTAAGGTTTCACATTAGTATCAGGCTCTAAACCCACTTTACATCTATGAATCCCAAATCCCCAAAGAAGCCTTCTCATTTTTCTTGGGTTGTTTCCAAGGGAGCACCAGGACTGGACTGCAGTTTGAAATTGTCCTCTGAGGACGTCCACATGCTTAAGGCAGTTTCACTATCCAACAGGACTCAGGTAGGACTGGCCCTTAGTGCGTGGACCTCAATCTGCGGGCTGTGAGCCCCTTGGCAAGCCTCAATTTCCAAGAAAAAAATTGACATTTCAATTCATAACAGCAAAATTACAGCTATGAAGTAGCCACAAAAATAACTGTGGGTCACCACAACATGAGGAATTGCATTAAAGGGCTGCAGCATTAAAAAAAAACATTGAGAACCACTGCCTTAAATGTCTACACAAACATCTTCCCTAACCCCAATATAGAGCATCTTGTGATTATTTTTACAGAAAATGTGTAGTATGTTAATTCAAGTTAAAATGTGACAAATGTTATGGTTTTTTTAATATATGGATTTTATGGAAAGTAAAGAACATTCAGAGTTGGTTTTACATACTATCCTGTACCTGCAAGAGTGGAATGAATCAATATTTAGAAGTGTGTTACAGAAGCCTGTAACAGACAGCTCAGCAGTTAATAATACATATTGCTCCTGCAGAAAGAAGACTAGAGTTCGATTCCCAGCACCCACATCAGTAAACTCACAACCGCCTGTAACTCCAGCTTCCCAGCATTCAGTACTTTCTTCTGGTCACTGCAGGCATCTACACACATGTGCACATCCCCAGACACCACACACACACAACACACATCAGCACACACCAAAAAACTCCAATGTCTTTTCAAAAGAAAATCAGATTTGATTTACATCATTAACTGGGAGTCTGTCCCAAGGAAGTAAACTCCGTTGTCTGTAACTGCCCATTTAGATATTTTGTCTTGCTCCCAATTACATACATTTTACAAGTTCTATAGTTCTGAAACTTTAATGTGCAAATTCACACAGGAAGTTTGATAAAGTATTTCAGAATAGTCCAATCAAATGCTAGTAGTTTGAGCAGTCATAGCACCAAATGGAATTCGGAAGGTGGTCCTTAAGCCACATTCTGAAATTTTTGAAATAAATAATATTCAAGTAAGTATTTGAGAAATGTTTCTCAACAGCAAGTTTAGAAATGTTTTCAAGAAAATATATTTAGAAAAACCAGGTACATCAATACCCTTCAAATGAAAGTTTTGGTCACTTTGTTCCGTCATTCAAAAGACTTGCCCACATAGGCTGGCATAGTGGCATACAGCTTTAATCTCAGCACTCGGGAGGCAGAGGCAGGAGGATCTCTGTGAGTTTGAGGCCAGCCTGGTCTA